TGGTGGTTAACAACACAAGCTCACATTCTGAACTGTCACAGTTCGATTCCCGCTGGTGGCGCTTATAAGACCTTTGAGAACAACTTTTGGGAAAGCAAGTATATGTGAAATTCAATGGAAACGTCAACTATACATATATCATTGTGGGAAAATTCAACTATGAGTACTTCATCACCTTAAACAAATTTAGGTTAATACATCTCATATAACCGATTTACTAGTAATCTCGAAACTCTGCTGTACCTAAAGTATCTTATCGAAATATAAACATTTTACCTACAATTATTTGATCTCTCTTTTTTCTCATTCCAGCAATGCTCTAAAGATTTATTTGAAAACCATCTATCGATGATGAAATATAATTATTAGTAAATTCTTAAAATCAGAGAATTTATTTAGATAGTTTCAGCAGGAGTTTATACCAAACGATGACCTTATGCTAGAATTCGTCAATACATTTTAACTTCACTATTCTTTATTTACAATTCAGCATTGCCTCTCCTTTATATTTATGCTTTTAAAGTGGTTTCAGAATGTCTTAACTGTATGCTCTTTGAGATTAACTCCCATAGCAAAGTAGATTAAATTATTACTGGCCAAAATACATATCTTATACTGCACATTATGTATTCTCATTGTTAATTTTATCAATTTCTTAGCTGTAGATTCTAGTGAAGATGAAGAGTTAACGCATTGTCTAGATATTCCTGAATACTTTTCATTCGGTCTTTAGTTTAAAGGTTATTTCCCCTTTGCAATATACTATATTTACTATTCGATCTATGTCTCATTGTTTTCTCCGCAAACTTCATCTGTAAGTCTTGCGTCCTCATGCTTCAGCTAAAATAGGATGCATATAACTTGTGACTTACAAGACAACTCTCGAAGGCGTATTCTTCGCTTGGAATAAAGCTTGCAAACGAGACACAAATAAGTGAATAACGTCATTATTCAATTATCGAAATAGTATCGTTCTGCTATATTTTTCTACCGCTACCTACTCCAACTATGCTCTTGTGATTTTTTGTCTCGTATTGTATTTTGGTAGATTTTACCTGATCATCTATTTTCTTCTTCTGCCTGTTCAGCTTGATTGAACAGCTGCCCGAGATTCATTATCACCTGCTCAGCTTACTGCTCTACACACTGGCGAGAGTTCGGAACGGTCCCGCGACTAGAATGGACGTAGAGTCGTTAAGTCGTGTCTGGGGCATTAATCTTATCGAACGACCTGGAGTTCCGCCAAGTCACGAAGATGCCGTCCTGGCTAATCAGATAGCTGCCTGTCTGATTGGACCTATTACGGAGACCTTCATCACCGGATACTGGAACAACCGATCACATGTTTTGCCGAACTCACCTCCTGTCTCCTCACCCTCTAACACCAACAGCACTGTAACCGCCTCACTTTCCAACTCACGAGAAAGCATGTCAAATAGCCAAACTTCGTCCGGCCAACAAAACCATCGCAGTTCACAGCAAAAGGAATCTTCAGAAAAACCACTTTTCCGAAT